CAGTATTTTTCTTTCGAAACACTTCGTACGCGGACCGCTTCGAGTTTCGACCCGGCTCGTTTAAGGGCGAGCAATCGAGCTGTACTCGATGCGGCAGGGGCAATAGGATTTTTCTAATGGAAACTTTACGTCGAGCGACGCGCGGAATCTGTAATTAACCAGTTAAGCGTGGAATTTAGTTTGAAATCGCGCAATAAAATCGAATAATGAAGTGTGCACTCGTTAAATGCAGGCCAGATGCACTTGAAATACATCCTAACGGGAAACTAAAGCGAAACGAATAAGAATTACATGTCCGTCTCAAAAAGTAAATAGTTCATCGTTGAAACAGTTAGCACCATTAAGAGTTTTAAGATGGCGTGTATACTCGTCAAACACAGTTAACTGGTTAATTCGAGATGACACCAATGCAATGCTGCATTGCGAAACCGGGGAACATTTAATTCTAGAACCGACTGCAGTGACTTATGCCTAAATTTTTCTGGAGATTAAAATAGTATCTAGATTAGTGGATTAGTTAACGCGATTTGTTACAATTTTTATAGGAATTGCATATTAATCGTATTAAATGCCCGGTAGTTCTAGTGTTAACCCTTTGCACTCGAAAGTTTTTCACTAGAAATATTCAATATTCTGCGATGAGATACAGGAAAGTTATTTTATTTCAATATTCCACATATTGACGCATCGTACGAAGCTTAATGTTATATATAAGACTTTATAATTTTGAAAATCAAATCAAGTGGCGACTGAGAGTCACCTCTCGAGTGCAAAGGGTTAATAACTTCTCAGAGAAGCATTTACTTTTTTAATCATTGCAAAGAGACGTCGGAAACGGTCATTTTGCTCCGTCTGGTAGGTTTAGAAAGACACTTGAACATCCAATGGACGTCCAGTTGCCTTACTTTCCATCGCAGCTCCGTTGTAAAGAGCCGAAGTCGAGCGATGCCCGTCGAAGTCGCTGACGAACGACGCCGACGGGTTATCCGTCGATGATACGCGCGATATCCATCTGGAACGTCGAACTCCGGGCCAATTCGAGCGCGTTTTAATTAAAATCGGGAACGAGCGTCGCCCCGCTCTCCGTCGAAATTCCCGGCGGACCGTAGACGCGCGGGGGACGAAGCCGAGTTCTTTCATAACGCGAGCGTCCGCGAGCGCGACGCCGACGTCGTTCGGACGCCGGCGACACCGGAGATCAAACGACGCTCGCAGCGTCGTTTCCGATAGCTATAACCGACGACGCTGATCAAATATAATTCCAAGCCTCGTTTATATCGGGCGCACTGCTGGGAAGACCGCTCCCGGCTGGCGGAAAAAAGGAGTCGCGGAAATGGCGCGCGATCGGATTCCGCCGGGAGTCCGCGACGGTTTCCGATTTCTAACGTTTCTTTATTAACGCCGGGAGATTGCTGTAACCAGATCCCTTTCCGTCCGTCCCCGGTGTATCGATAATTCTTTCGAATTGGAAACACAATCGCTCGGTATCTCGGGTTCGCGTTGTTCCGATTCCGCGCGCGCTGCGAATGCTTCCTCGAGCGGGGATCGCGTTGCGAGTCTGGCTCCGCGATTAACAGGTTGCCGTATTATTCACTTCCGTTACTATGTTCGTGTAATATTTTACTATCGGCGATTTGTAAGAAATACAATAGAATTTTCTATTGTACTTCAAGTGGAGGTTTCATTTGAAGATGCGTTCCACTGACTGTGCGCCATTTTGTCGGTAGCTGAGATTAACCCCTTGGCGTACTATTTACTCTCGTTACTAAGCTCGTGTAATATTTTACTGTCGACGATTTGTAAGAAACACAACAGAATTTTCCATTCTACTTCAAGTGGAAATTTCATTTGAAAATACGTTCCACTGACTGCGCGCCATTTTGTCGGTAGCTGACATTAACCCCTTGGCGTACTATTTACTCTCGTTACTAAGCTCGTGTAATATTTTACTGTCGACGATTTGTAAGAAACACAACAATTTTCCATTCTACTTCAGGTGGAAATTTCATTCGAAGATAATACATTGATAATAGCAAAATATTTGTTCCTTTTGATCCGTGGGTAATTACGGGTAAAACATTCGACTATCGACCATTTGGAAGAAATGAAAGATTGTCCATTGTACTTTAAGTGGAAATTTCATTTGAAGATGATACAGTGACAGTGGCGAATAGTCTTTCGCTTTGATCCGTGGACAATGAACGACATTGAATTTTGTTACATTAATCTAGAAATCTTCATCACGAGTCTCACTCGTCATTCTACGGCAAAGTGTTAAGATAGCTACTATTGGGAGATTTATTTATGGATTAGTTCCCTTTTCTCGAGTTGTACGCTACCGTACAAATTCACTGAAGACGAAACACTATTCGAAAGATCTGTCTCTGACCAGCAGCCATCCAGTCGTCTTCCCGCCACCGAAGGAATCGCGTTGAAAAAACAATCGCCTGGAACGCAGGGTTCTCTGATTGATCGGAAGCGGCGTCACGTTCCAGGCGATCGGCGAGGTTTCACCGGCGCGATCCCATTGGGACGTATTAAATCCCTTCCCCGGCATCTCTATCGCGAGCGTCGCCGCGGATCGATCGCTTAAAAACCAGCGAGCACCGCGGCGCGCGCTCGGCTCGAGGAATTTTCGCCGGGTCCGTTTAATCTGAAAATTATTGCCGGCTCAGCCGTGCGCGCGAGTCGCGACACCTTCCTCGGATTTCCATAGGAAATTAATATACGCGGCTGTATCGCGGCATCGACTGACGGGGCAACTTCAAAGTTCGCGCGCGACTGGAAAGACAAAGTGGAATATTTACGAGGCAATTAACGGGCGAGTCGCGCGCCGCCGGGGAAACACTTCGAATATCTTTGTCGCGGACCGATTGCTGCCTCCGTGGAATTACGCGTCGAATATCGAATGCCGGTATTAATCGAACGAAGACCGCCGAGGAGCCTCCCGCAAGATCCGCGCGGAGTCTCGGTAACTGCCGGCGGAAATTCGGGAAACTGGAGCGAGCCTCGGACCGGGTCAGGAATTACCGTCGGACGAGCGTCATTCGTAAATTCGGGAGGAGCCGACTCGCGGACGCTAATCGCGTTAGCTCGGTTCATTTGGATCGCGCTCGCCAATCAACTCGAAACCTCTTTGCGAAAGTCGCTCGGCCTCGTCTTCGTTTCGCCGCGCTTTGACGGGCTAATTCGCTGCACGCTGTCGCCGCGCTCTTTTGTTCGATTTTCCGCTTTTTCGCAGTCGAACCTCGCCAGTTTCGTCGAGCTCGTGTACAATGTTGCGAGAACGATCGTCTATCGAGGGATTAATTACGATCGGGATCGAGGATCGAGCGTGTTCTCCCCGAGAGGAACGCCGGTTCGATCGGCTCCCGCG